CGGATTATTGTCATATTGATGCAACAACCACTCACAAAACCGCACTCTTGCTGGAAAATCGTCAGGTTGAAGGTCTTGTACACGTTGGACGTGAAACGGATACAGCCCCTCTTCACGCAGCGTTTGCCACACTTTAGTTTTTGATACTTGCACTTCTCTAGCCACGTCTCTAGTGCTTGTTGTTTTTTGAAACGCAATCGATTATACGAGTTCGTTTACCTCTACACGCGTGACCGTAACCTTCGGTTGAAGGTTGCATACTCACCTGACACACTGACCCCGACCCAGTTTCCTGCCGTCGGGTTGAGACCTTGTAACAGTCGGGGATATCGCGGCGGGTCGCGGCTACAGGACGTATTCAGATATTTTTGATGTTGCAGAGCCCTTTATCTCGGTTCCCTTAAGACATTGGTGTATATGGTACTAAGAAAAATTGCTTATGTTTTCAAGATCTACACGTCGTGTAAAGGAAAACCCCAACTTTGCGGACACCCTGTATAGTAATGAACCGACGGCACTTGGGCGTTGGGGGGACGTCCATGGTGGAGTTGGCAGCAAAGATCTTGGCAAGCACTTCCACCTTGGCCTTTAAGTCTGTTTCAATCGTTCCATCCTGCCACGTATGTGGTGGAGGGCTACTTGTGAGAAGTTTTTTTCAATCTGCTTGGTCAGAGCGCAAAAGCAGCCGTTGGACCCTGATTTAAGCACTTTCACTGTATGAGGAATGTATTCTTTCATTCTGACGTGGATAATTTCGGTTATAGAAGAACAGACAGCCGACGCATCCGCGTGAGCAAAACAAACATCTCTTCAAGGAAAGGTCTCTCAGTCCCTCCCAGTCGGCATGACCATGATGCCATATTTTGCGGCCTGCGCGAGTTTCTGCTGCCACAGCGGGTTCTGACCGAAACCTAACCTACACAAAACCGTGGTCTGAGTTACCCAGGGGGAACAGGACAGCAGTGCTGTAAGGGACAGGATGCATGGTCAGAAAAAGATTCAAGTGACGAGACGCGGGGAAAAAGTAGGGCTCGTCACCAGATGCGTCAGCCTTTGAATAAGAGCTTGTTTGAGCCCAAGCAAAGCTCATTACGGGCATTAAAATTACCGAGGAGAACTACGTCTGAAGCGGGTTGATTGATGTTCAGTAAGTCAATCTTGTCAAGTAGGTCATCCCAGTTATGGTCCGAGGAGAGCGATAAAGGCAACAAATAAATCTGTGGTATGTTTTGGAGTAGAGGCGTGGTCTGATTCCAACGAAACATGTCTGGAGCAGAAAAGACTGCAGCGGACAAAAGCTACAACTCCCCCGTTCTTTCTCAGATTGGAGTGCACCTGTAATTTGGGAAGCTAAGATGGTTTAGTTTATAAGACAGCTTGGGAAAAGCTAGCAGGTGGTACCGCCTCGGTCGACTGGTCCTTGTCTACCGCCTTCTTTTTGCGTGTTAATGATGTTAATTAGACCTAAAGTGGCCCGTTGGCGGACTTGTACCGCCACCCCGCAATCGGTACTGAGGTATTCCTTAACACGTGTACAATCACTTGAACGGGAAGAAGTTGTACACTGGATAGAAAAACTTCCGGAACAAGCATTTTCCACGGCCCCGCTCAGTAGGGCAAGATCACGACATATATCTTCCAGAAGACAATATTGGTCTCTAGTTTAATGGTTGCTGTTGATACAAGCAATTATTGTATCGCGTGCATTTTTTGTTCATTGATTATTTGTAAATGCTAAATAGATACGGTCAGCAAAGAAAAAATCTTTTGTCGTCGATGACAGTTTGTGACGACAACCTACTGTGAAAATGAAAATTTAAATCTTCCATTGAATGTTCCTCAAGGAAGGGTAATTGTTTTCACTGTTTCCAAGGAGAGATCAATTGTTTTCAAGGAAGATTCATAAATCTGACTCTAATTCGCCAAAAAATATTCTTGACTTGTTTGTGGGGCATATAACTCGAGAAGGCAGTCTTGATCTCTAGATGTTAATGGCTGCTGTTACTGTATCTCGTGCATTTTTTTGTTCATTGATTATTTGTAAATGTTTTTGTTCCAGTGAATGTTTGGAGTTACGTGATCCACATTGCGCATGGGACTCTCTGAAGGGGGCATGTGTTAGTGTCGATGCTGTAACATCATTTCGATATCACATACAAGATGTCCGGAGAGGAAATGCTTCAAAATGTCGGCTGCAGCCTCTGGTAAGTAAGATGTGCATATTGGCTTATTTGATGATCAGTTGCTCTTTCGTGTGAAATGTATTATTTTTTTTAAGTACAAAAGCGCTTACCTCCTTTAATTGATACATCATTATGTTCTATTTTTCTACATAATTGTCATTCCGGCATTTTTATAGAAGCTGTAACAGTTTTTGTATGCCCATGTCATACGCTGACAAGTCCTCGAGGAAGCATTGAACCTCGTTTCTCACTTCATCATCGGGACTGAGTCTCTTTCGGTTGTGCTTTTGGAAGCAAGGGGTGAAAAAAGCTCACCCGCGCAATTTGAAACTGACAGCTCTTCTCCGGTCCATCCTCTGGTTGTTGCTCGTCGCCCATTAAACGGTTGCTCTTCCACTAAAGTTTGAATGCGAAAATCATCACCTATCTATCCACTCTACAGACCGGACTTGGCAGCCAGTGATTGCCACCTGTTTCTTAGCACATTTGCCGCCGCGCGATGTGCCTGCCAGACAGACTTCCACGTCTCATCGTAACCCTGTCGAACTGCGTACATCCAGAGCTGGCCGATACGACCGCTCCTTTGTTTCCAGGGTATCGAGATTGTGGAACAATCTACATGATGAGGCTTTTCCCAGTTCTACTAACCTTAGGCCGCGGTGACGTGGCTTCTGACTGCACGGCTGCTTCGATGTAAAAACAAATACAGTGGACCCCCGATAATCCGGCCCCTGTCTAATCCGGCGCCCCCTGTAATCCGACATGTCTTTGAATATTACATACATACGTATTTGACAATCTTTGCTTATGTAGATCACGCAGGTTTGAACAGGTTACAACTTGTACGCGCCACCGCTATCGTGCTCGACGCGTAAGCATTGTTTTACATAGTTTGAGTATGACTACTTGTGATAGCGGTACGGCCTAGCGTGCGTTTATTGTTTACTATTTATTCATTGTGTATTAAGTATAGTACCTAGTAATGTCATCACAAACTCAGAAGCGAAAGCACAAAACACTGACAATTAAAGAAAATGTGATATTTGAGACCGCTTAAATCGCAATTAAACTTTCAGTAAATTAGCAAGTGAATACGGCGTAGACTGATCTACAATTTATGACATTAAAAGAAACTACGAGAAGATCAAGAAGTGTCAACTACTGACTGCGGGCCAGGCAAGAGACAGACACTCAAGAAAGCTGAACATCCAGAAGTGGAAGGAGCTTTGTACATGTGGTTTCTTCAGGAAAGAAATAGGCATGCACCAATTTCAGGACCCATGTTGGCCATGAAAGCTTAGTTTTTTTTATAAGGAAATAACAAAAACAGATAATTTTGTGGCCAGCAAAGGATGGCTAGAACGTTTTAAAAGTCGTCATGGCATACGTTTAATGACTATTACAGGAGAGAAACTTTCTAACGATGCCACCTGCATAGAGCCCTTTAAATTAAGATTTTTGCAAAAGGTGAACGATTTAAATCTTGACCCGTCACAGGTGTACAATGCAGACGAATCAGGGCTCTTTTGGCGTGTGATGCCTAACAAACTTTCGTTTCTTGTAACGAAAAATCCGTACCTGGACGAAAAGTAAGTAAAGAGCGTGTAACCATACTACCATGTGCTAACGCTGTGGGAACACACGCGCTTAAGATGATGGTCATTGGGAAATCTAATAAACCACGGGCATTCAAAAACATTGATTTACCTGTACACTATTACGGACAAAAAAGTGCATGGATCACAAAAGACCTTTTTAAAAAATGGTTTGATGAATGCTTCGTACCTGAAGTTAGAAAATGGTTAAAGATCATAATTTTCCTCAAAAAGCGTTGTTGCTTCTTGATAACGCTCCCTGTGATCCGTCTGAAGAAGAACCAACAACTGAGGATAAATGCATCACTGCGATGTTTCTTCCGCCAATTTGCACTGCACTGATTCAACCAATGGACCAGAATATCATTCAGTTTGTCAAGCAAGGCTATAAGAAAAACCTACTTCTGAGAGCCGTATCAAAAGACCAACCAATGGAAAAAACTTTAAAATGAAAGACTTGGTTGCTCTTTGTCAGTGGTGGAATGCGTTACCGTCATCAACTATTAAATCGTCTTGGAAAAAGTTATGGCCAGATATAGTCACCACTTCTAGCAACGTTCCACAAATCAGTGTAACTTCGGAAGTTATAGAACAAGTCGCTACTGAAACACAGATAAGTCCGGAAGATTTGGAAATCTGGTGCCGTGGAATGGATAAAGAGGAAAATGTTTTTCAAGAAATGTCTGACGAAGAGATTATAAAAGAGGTTTCTAATTATACAACAAACAATCATAACAAGCTTCATAATTTGATAAATTCATTAATGATTTTGATTAATAATTTATGCTTAATTTTATAATAAAATGTAAGCTCTCTATTGTTATTTAATTTACTAAATTCGACATACATAAACTATGTATGATTTGTACTTCAAAGTACATACATATATATATAACATATATAATCTTACCATTGGATATGTAATTTGTCGGATTACAAGGTGCTCTTTTGTAAAAAATTCCGGACTATAGGGGGTCTTAGGCAGTGCTCTATAATCCGACAAATTCGATAGTCCGACACTGCCCTGCATAATGTTTGTCGGATTACCGGAGGGCCACTGTATTCCGTTTTAACGGCGATGTAAAATATGAGGTTTATTGCTTCCACGTGGACCTGGTGGCGAGCTGGTGTTACATGGACACATAAAAACTGCCACAGCATTTACAAAAATTCATCGAATGAAATGGCGAGTATGCAGAAAAATATATACCAATTATTGAAAATGCATTTATTTTTTTCAGATGCTCCGTCGCCAAAAGAGTACGACATCAAATCTTTGGACACGAACTCAGTAGACGAAGACGAAAAAGAGCCAAGCGACGATTTACTCCGCTTGGACGCGGATTCGACTGAGTGCAGTAATGACATAGACGGGGCAACAACAGGATGTGCATCGCAGAGCAAGTTGACTTTGTACACGCCGGAATATTTGAGGATATTCGTTGCGGTTTCCAGTCTTGTGGGGCTGTTCATTGGGTTTCTTTGTGGGTATCTGGTGTCCCGGCGATTTCACACCCATCCGCAGTACCCTAATCAGGCGTTTATTGAACAGCACAACCATCTAGATCGGTAAGTCTCGTTTGCGCGCAAGACAACGGTTCAGCAGACTATGACATTGACATTGTTCACTTTATTTATTCTACAGGGTGGCCCAACGAAAAGGTCGCACCCCCATTTCTGACTCTCCTGATATACACTGCCACACAAAATTAACCGGACCAATAATAATTTTGTTCTTGCAAAACGATTGAAAATGATTGTTGTTATACAGGGTGTAACTAAAAGGTGCATTTTGCCCTAAATTTCTGAACATCCTGTGGAAACATTGGATTACTGAGTAATGTGTCTTCGTATGAGAATTTTAAGCCGCCAACTTTTCTCAACTTCTTTTTTTGATCCATGTCAATATCTCAATTATTGAAGAATATATGTTGTTTGGAAGAGAATCATGGGAATCATAGCCATAAACAAGAAATTGTTTCAAGTAGGCTTTGCCGGGTAAGAAATTGTTTCAAGTAGCATTTTTATGGCATGTCAAAAAGATTATTGTCAAGAAATACTCAAAAAAATATCCTATTCGGTATATCGCAGAAAGGCTCGCCGTTCCACGCAGTACGGTATTCGATGCGATACAAGATTCAGAGAAACTGGTTCTTACTCAAGAAGACCTGGGCAGGGAAGACGGAAAACAACAAACGCAGTTGTAGATTGGTTTCTGAGACTTCATACTCTTCGAGAAAGGACAGTTCCTGCTACTGCTTTGACTCGAAGATCGGATGGGACCATAGTTTCACCTGATACCGTACGCCGAAGGTTGAGAAAAGGAAACCTATCATCTTGTGTACCTGCTACAGGTCCTCTATTGGATGTACGTCATCGAAGGCAGCGCTTGGTATTTTCTCGAACTCGTGCAGATTGGGATATGGACGACTGGAAAAACGTTCTTTTTACGATAGTCACCTGATGGTCGCCAAAGAATGTAGAGAAGGCATGGAGAACGCTATGCTCAAAAATGTTTCGCTCCTAGAGTGAAATTTGCTGGTGGAGGAGTGATGGTATGGGGCGGTACTTCTTTGGAATCCCGAACAGATCTTGTTTCGCTACGAGGAGGACACCTTACTGCCGACATCTACATAAGAGAGTGCTTGGAAAAACATGTAGTTCCTCATATGCCCTTTATAGTTGAAAATTTGCAAGATAATGCTCGGCCGCATGTAGCTAGAATGAGTAGGCAATACCTCAACGATGTTGGAATTCAAGTACTAGAATGGCCGCCAAGTATTCCGGATCTCAACCCCATTGAGCAGATGTGGGATACATTAGGGAGAAGGCTTAGGCAGAACTGTGCAGGATTTCAAACTGTGGCTGCGTTGAAACAGGCGCTGGTAAACGAGTGGGAGCAAATGATCCAAGACACAATAGCTGGTTTAATTGAGTGTATGCCAGAGAGGATGTTATTCAAGCCCGGGGAGGAAATACTGTAATTTTTTAATTAAATTGTTTATGGCTATGATTCGCATGACTTTCTCCAAAACAGCATATATTCATCAATAAATGAGATATTGACATGAATCAAAAAAAGAACTGTTAAAATTGTCATACGAAGATACATTATTCAGTAATCCAATGTTTCCACAGGGTGTTCAGAAATTTAGATGCAAGGTTAAAAAGTTATTTCAAATTTATTTTCAACAACATTTTGTTTGTCCTAGGGGGACGTAATTTCTTCTATAGCCGTACAATACGGGGTGATCCAAAAATAAGATATTAGGTTAGGCTTTATACTTTTAATGGAAACCCCATTGTTTAATTTTTAGATATTCCATGAAGTTTTTAGTAACTTTTGTATAATAAAGTTTATACCGATCTTCAGTCATTGTGAAGCTATTTGAGTTTATAATACAATTCCACTGGATACTGATAATAATGAAATGCGCGGCAAAAAAAATAACAATCATGGATATCAGCAAGAACATTTAGCATCAGTCAGTGATATTTTATTTCGTAGAAAAACTTTATCTTTCCATTTCAAATTGTTAATTTACCTGCCTAGTTGTGATAAATATTTAACAATGACTTATTCAATTCAAGAAACGGTAGAAATGACAAACTGTATTACCAAAATGGAAGCATTGCAAGAGCTACTGCCTGGTTGTTTAATGCGTTACATCCAGACAAAAATATTGACGATAACTATGTGGCTAGTCGGTAAGACAAATTTGAAGAAACTGGATCTGTGTCCGATATTCGCCGTAATCGCCATCGAGAAAGTCGGATCAGTTAGAAATGAAACCGCAGAAATAGCAGTTTTGGGACACGTAGCGCTTGACAACATCCAAAGCACTCGTGGACTGGCTACTTCTTCAGGATTTACACGCTCTACAGTTCAAAGATGTTTGAAAGACAATAAATTTCACTCGTACAAGATATAACTTGTCCATGAACTTTCTGAAGACAATTTTGATAGAAGGTTGGAGCTTTGCGAATTAATGTCCCAACGTTTAATCAACAATTTTTTTTTATACTCCAACTACCACGAAGGCCTAAGGCCTAAACACCCATTGGGTACCGTGGGGCTATAGGGGATACAGGGAAAAGGGGGGATGCCACACGGACTCTGGCGAGGGAAGACGTGTGCATGCAACATGCACACATTCTGGCTCCGCCTACGAGATCCGCCGGGTGGTACCTCCGCGTTCGACAGTCAGAAACCGTCTACCACCGACGGACAATCACAACATCCATAGCCAAGAGAAAAATTTCTCCTGGGACGGGACTCGAACCCGCACAGCGCACGGCGACTGATCAGGAGACCGAAGAGTCTACTACTGCGGCCACCGCTGCTGCCTAAAATGCACATATGTTATTTAATATTTACATGATGCTGTGAATCCACATTTGTTTCAAGAGGTACATTCGCAGTATCCTGAAAAAATAAATGGTTGGCCGGCATTTTCGGAAATCATATTGTAGGGTCATTATTCCTGGAAACTTGACGGGCGAGACATACTTGCACATGTGATGTGAATATGCAATAGAGCCACGAATTACCGAAATAACATAAAATGAAGTTAATTATAATGAAAATTACATTAATTTACAACAAGATGGTGCACTGCTGCACTATGTGACTCCAGTACGACAGTTTTTGGACATTTCCCGAATCAATTGATCGGCAGACGAGGCCACATCGAGTGGTCGCCGAGATATCCGGACCTAAGTCCTTTAGATTAATTTCTTGGGGGGCACCTGAAAAGTAAAGTTTTTAGTACGAAGCCAGATTCCATCCAAGATCTTCGTCAGCGGATTACGACTGAATGTAGACAATTAACTCAAGACATGCCAGAAAATGTGAGGAATGGATTCGAAGAAAATCTTTATTAATGCATGGAGGTAAATGGACACTACTTATTACCATACTGATTATAGTAAATTAATTTTTACTTCAATGTGTGCGTAAACTGAAAGTTGTTTTTTGTTTTTTTAACACTCTGAGACTTGTTTTTAATGTTTAAGTTAAAGTCTTGTTACTATGGGAACATAATTTCCAGAATTTTATCATAAACTCAAATAGGTTCACAACGATTGAAGGTATACACTTTATCATACAAAAGTTACTAAAAACTTCATGGACAATATAAAAATGAAAAAAAATGGGAATTTCCATTTAAAAATCTTAAGTGTATTTTTTATTGTATTATGTGTATTGTACGGCTATAGATGAAAGGAAATCGCCTTAGAAATCAAAATTGACGTGTCCTAGCGTTTTTCCCAAAAAATTTACCAGGAGAGTCACAAATAGGGCTGCGACCTTTTCGTTGGGCCACCCTGTATGTGTGTACATCTGACTCAGTCTATCCTGGAGGTTGGAACGAGGAACCCTCAAGTGGAGATTTTAACATTCCATCTCACTGTAACAGGTTTTTCAAAATGTTCAATTTTCTCTATTCAAAATGATCAATCTTCTATGTTTTCAAAATTTTGAATACCTCAAACATTTTGAATGGATTTTTGTATGGATATCTGAATAGTAACAAAACAAGCTCCTCATTATTTCCAATCACTTTTTTATTGAAATCTGTAACACATACTTTAGAGCAGGGCTGTCCAACTTAATGTGGCCCAAGGGCCACTTCAAAAAAAAATGCAGTTTGGAGGGCCGCGTTATAAAATCTTTCTATACAACATTATTACTGAGTTTTAATAGGTATATGCATATTCGGTATTTGAGAGTAATTTATACTTGTAATGTACAGGGTGACTTCGAACTTGAGTCATTTATTCTAACAGTGAGTAGATCTGATCAAAATAAATGTTTTTTTCCTTTACCATTTTTCTGGTAAAATTAAAGTAACAAAGTTATAGCCCTTTGGAAGTTTGAGTACCGCCCTGTCTCAATAATAATATTATGTGCTCGTGTTTGGCAACAACGGATATAATCCGCCTTATCGGTTCATCGCATCGGAAACAAAAAAGCGAAAGAATTTGGAACGATGTTTTTACAATTATTTTATTCAGTTGTATACAGTCAGTGTCAGTCGGTAACGCGTGAGTGAATAGTGGTGTCTGTTGCGTGGCTCAAACGAAATCAAAAATGGCACATGTTTACGAAAATGCTGAACTTGTGGACATGATTCTTATTTACGCGGCATCACGGATTTATGCGGATCGGTTTCCCAATCGAGTGCAACCAACCCCTCGTGCCTTTGTTAATGTAGTACAAAGGGCTCGTGAATCAGGTGACTTAAGACCTCACAGGGGAGGGCATGCCGGTGCTCCAAGACCGCACGATCAAATACAGGTCCGCACTGAAATACTTGTCGGGAGGATACTTTATAAAACAAGGTAACATTTTTTTTTAATTTTTTTTTATTTTTACACACATATTTTGGTTATCTTCCTTCTACAATCATTATCTGAAAATTAATGACTCAACTTCAAAGTCACCCTGTATACATGACCTGTGAAGCGGGCCGCAAGAAAGGAGTTCGCGGGCCGTATGTTGGACAGCCCTGCTTTAGAGAAAATTTTGGATGATTGCAGGGGATTATTATGGCTAGTTATCTTTTTATATTTCCTAGAGATTGGCGAATTTCTGTTCAACATTTTACAAACCTTTAGCTACAGATTTTCAGAAATACACGGATAACAATGAAACATTGGAATCTGACTTTGTAGATACATGTTTTGTGCTTGTAAGATGGAATCCTCACTTGGCCATTCCGAGGAATCTCTTTCCTCAGTTGCAAACGGAAACTTACTATAAAATATATTGTCGTTGCCATTTTTGTTTCTTGTCTTTTGAACTGTGAAAAAGGCCACCGAGTTAGCTGAAACGTCAGTAAACAGACATCTGCGATTTAATTTAACAGCCAGAAAAACATAGAAAATCAGCGCTCTGATGAGTTTCAGATGTTATTTATGCCTTTTTGCGTGCACTTGACTCATAGTTGATTTTTTTGTAATTAGGCTGCTGTATTGCCTGGCTAGTTGTACATCATCCAAACTTGGTGGATGTCGAGATGACTTTTCCACACATGAATTTATCAAAAGTCCAAATCCAACAGGTAAATTCCTGCTTAAAGGATGCCTTGCTATCATCTGTGCATTGCTTACTTAGCCAGGTGTTGTGAATTTGTCGTTCTTTACAGGATAAAATGTCAGTCTGTGATTTTTTGTACTTTGTGTATACTAACAAAAATTTTCTGTCGGTAAATGTATCTTTCTCATCATAACACATTATTTGTTGGCGAAAAACCTATGCCATTTCACTTCGGTTTGTCGAGTTTTTATACCCCCCACATAAAAAATTATAAAACTTTTTGTCGTCTGTAATGTTTCACAATCAGAACTAGTGGTCAGTGTGTCTGTCTTTGTGTTGGGTTTCAAATAAATGTTTCATGATATACATATACTATTTTTGAAGTTCTCTCGTACTTTTCCTAGTTAAAATTTTTCTCTGAGAGTATACTATTATTTACAGTACAGTAGAGCCCCGATTATCCGAGATAATGTGGACCCAAGTGCCTTCGGATAATCGAAATTTCGGATAAAACGGAAATAAATATTTAGACTCATAATGCTTTTCTTGAAAAAAGTAAATGCGTGTGTCAAGTGAGTATATACCTATATTAAGTTACGTAAAATATAAACATGTAGATACAAACATACATATTTATGAGTACCTATTTAGTACCAAAGGAAGTAATTTTTAACTATACACGTTTTGCATTGTTCCTATTTTTGGCAGCAATATCCCTCCAACGTTTGATGAGTAGCACATCAGCTGCTGTCGCATTTTCATGTTGTTTCGATACGTCAACGCGTTTTGTAGGGCTTCTAATGCCTCAGAATGTGATATTTTTGCAGAGATTTCTGTCTCATTGCCACTAGCATCACTTAAAACTGTCTCATCGCCATTGTTAGAAACAGTTCTTATTAGCAAGCATTTTTTGATTTTTATACCACACTGGAAGAGCGTTGGGACGGACGTGGTTTAGCTGATTTTCCGGTTAACAACAAAGGAAGTTTGTGTGTACCGGAAGCATTGCTACAAGCAAGGATAGTCACACGTTCTTTACTGCGTTTGTAACCAGGAGCTCCAGATTCTTGTTTTGAAGCTAAACTTTTCGCCGGTAACATTTTATAGTTTAGGCCCGTTTTGTCGCAGTTGTAAATTTGTTTTGTATTTATTCCATACTGCTTCAGTAATTTTTTAATGCAGCGGACTTATCGGCAGATAACTTTTCTCCGCAAACCTTTGATTCTCGTATACCGTGTCGTTTTTTCAATCTATGCAGCCAACCATCACTAGTTGTAAAGTGATCAGGCGCCTCAATAACTGGCAATTCTTCGCTTAAGTTGACTCCGTTTTGTTTTAGAATTGGTCCGGAAATTGGTGTACCACGTTCTCGATTCTGTGTGAACCACAAATATAAAGCATTATCCACTTTTTGATATTCCCCCTTTTTCGTAGTTTTCCGCCACGGCTGCCATGATGTCAGAACCCTAGACTAGTTTTCAATTTTCTCGCGTTGTTTTCTCCATTTCTCCATATCCAAATCACTTGCCACGTTTTTAAGCAAATCACCTCTATCTAAACGTCTGATTGCCTCAAATTTCTGTTCTATGGTAATAACAACGCGTTTACGTTTATTTCTATGCTGCTCCATCTTAGCGATTATGAACCTGACTGAAACAAACATACACGCACACATACCAGTGAATTCCGCAAAACGCTCCTGGGGAATGACCGGCAGCGAATCTAATGACGCAAACGCCGAAAGGGGAACAACCGGTGGCTATTTCGGATCATGCGCCGATTTCCCGAACAACTTCGATCAAAACGGAGGAATTATTGTATGCGATCTGTTTCGGATAAAGCGGATTTCGGATAATCGCGATTCGGATAACCGGGGTTCTACTGTACATATTCCTTGCATTATTTTACCATCATATACACAATTGCCAAAAAGTAGCTCATTTCATTGTACATATTACATATCCAGCCCTTTTCAACTATTCAGGGTGTTAATCAAATACTTGGCTTAAATTCCGATCAACAGGTTAATTCAACTTCTTATGAAAAAAAAACGATGTTTTTGAAAACGTTTGGATATATTAAAAACGAAACATTTTCCAACCTATGCCTATATAAACTAATTATTGTAGCAATGATTATGTATAATTAATATCAGCCGATATTTCTGCTACCAGAGCTCCAAAAAATACCAGACTTAGAGGCGCAACTATGAAGAAAAGTATTAACTAGTCACTAGTGCATAAAAATGGATATTGAAAGCGATTATTTCAGAATCAGTTCTTTTAAGCACTATATTACGAGTATATGGTCAATTCTGTCGGTAATGACCTCTTGTAAAACCTACTCAAATATCATGCACGACTTTCCCTGCAATAGGGAAACCAAGTTTTGTTTTTGAGTTTTTGCCAAAACGGCGTACTAACATTCGTTTATTTTTTCCAGACTCACTGTGAATCAGAATAGTTTTTTAGCCCCGCGAAACAAGACGGTGAATCTTGACGTCCTGAACGTTTCGACGGATTCACTGCCACCAAAAAAGGACAACCTTGGCTCTTTGAAGAATTTGAACATAACAAATGAAGGTACACTGCAGAAGATCAAGAAAACTTATATCTGAATGCGTTTCGCGAGATTCCAGTATTTGCAGTAAGAACTCTCAGATTATAACTTTTTTCTCGAATATCTCTATTTGCACGGTCATCAAGTCAGATTCAGGAAGTTTTTCACGGAAGCACTTCAATCCAGGACAGAGCTCTGAATAGAGTTTACTCTCTCCGAATCAGTGTCCCTAAGGAATTTAATACAGATTCGTTCTACGAATATTATTATGAGAAACAATAATATTTGGCGAACCAAATCTGTTCAACTTTCGTCTTCATCAAGCTCCAAATCTGGCATCAGGTATGATGTGGCCAAAGAATACAGAGGAACCATTTGAATGTGCACTCGCGAAAATTCCTTTGATCTTATGGCACTGGGACAAGATTTCCCTCCTTTGTTTTGCATCCATTGACGCAGCACCAACTGCCACCAATCTACTCCCTGGGTAGTTATAGTACAAGAAGTATCTTCGCATCTGCCTAGAAAAATATTTTGATTGTTTTTTCGCATAAGTTCATTCAAAAAAGACCCCTTTTAATGAACCTGCACGTTGCCAGTTCTTCTTTTGACAACTCTGTATTCTTTGGATGTGACAAACATAAAACATCTTGCTTTTTTTACCTATTTGGATGATGTGAAACATTTTTCACAACCCCAAGAAACTGTTCGGTTTTTATGTGGATGTAGAAATAATTTGAATATGAATAAAGTTGTGCCAATTCCGTTGGACTCCCCGATGTTGTGATATGTACGCACCCAAGAAACTCGAGTTTTAACTTGATGAACGTGCAACATAAAATATTTTCATACAGAAAGACCTAATGCGTATGTCTTTTGATGAATATTTTTGTACCTGCTATATAATTATAGACTGCCTTTATGCTATTCTACCGAGTTGATAGAAGAATGTTATTCAGAAGCTACCCCTGTTGGCTTTAATTTTTCTTTCTCAAGCTCAATGTAATATTTTTATAATAGCTCACGTTTTTATTTTGATATACTGATCTTTGAATGTGAGAGCACACTTTTGCTATAAAACGATAAAACGTTAACCATTTGATGTATCTTATGTACAGGGTGGGGCAGAAAGACTTTCCCGATTTGGACAGCCGATAAAAACTGAACTAATCAAGATATAGAAAAAAAACTTATTTTTTTATAGGCATTTATAGTGCCATTTTAAGTCAATGCGTCTTGAAAATGATATCACTCAAGTCCATTGTTGAGTGAGTGAACCTCTTCCGATAGTTTTCCATCACTCTGCAGATCATGTCAGGCGGAATGGCAGCAGTTTCCTGGAATTGTTTTCTCCTTGAGAGCGTCTAGAGTTTGAGGGCGATGTTGGTACACTTGTTCCTTTAGGTAGCCCCAAAAAAAATCACATGAGGTCAAATGCGGTGAGTACGGAGGCCACCCGATGTCGCAGCGCAAAGAATAAAGATGTGTCCAGGAAACATTTCTCGCAGAAGTGCCATACATGTTCTTGTCCATGCTCATTGACAAAAGCAGCCACTCCGGGCCGTATAAAGCTCTCTAGCATCACATAACATCGATCTGCGTTCACTCTAACAGTTCCATTCAACAAAATATGGACTCCCACACACCAGATTCAGAAATGGCACACCAGACTGCAACCTTAGGTCTATAAAGTGGCCACTCGTGCAGTTCTCAAGGGTTATTTTCAGACCAATACCTGCAGTTTTGTTTGTTGACTTCGCCAGAAAGCTGGAAATGGGCAACACCACTGAAGATCAAAACGTCCATGCGAGGAATATTGCGAAGTTGGCACAAAATGGTACGGGTTTCACGGTCTTTTTCACGCAACTCCTGTGCAATGGCAATTTTATAGGGATGCATATCAAGATCCCGGTGTAGGATTCTCCGAACACTCCGATTTGATAATCGCAAAGCAGTGCTTACGTGCAGAGCTGCTGAATTGACGCTCTCACAGCTGCCACATTTGCTGGCCCTGTTGCTGTTCGAGGTCGACCAGGAGATTTTCTTTTTAATGCCGATCCTGCTTCTAGAAAGTTCGACACCCATTTAACACTTGTCTACTATCGGGAACCAGACCATGTCGCCCGAGCTGGAAGTGAATGCCATTATTGGCGAACCTCCATTTCGAATAAACCAAGCCATGGCTGACACTAAAAAAGTGGAATAGACGAGATATATACTCTTCTGCGCTGTACCCCCTATTGGCGTAGCTAGACGGTTTCCAAATCGGGGAGGCCTTTCTGCCCGACCCGTAGAATGATTCATTTTGCAGTAATTGGTACATCTGCAAGCGCTTTTAATGGCTCATACTTTGTTTCTACAGGAGTGTGCTCTCAATTTGGAGATCAATTTACGTTTTACTTACGTTTTAGTACTACTTATACGGAATCAAAAATGAATTTGCTTTAGCAGCTAATTTTGCAATAGAGAAAGAAAATAATGTGTAATTATTGTTTTAAGTGTTTATGTGATAAGTAGCTATACACGAGGCGGAACGACACAGTCTCTCGATTGAACTTTTATAAAAAAGATAAAATTTATAAATGTTGAGAACCAATGAGTTATAACCGATGGGTTCTAACTCATTATATTATATAAAAAGGCCAAGATTAAATCTTCCACAAATGTGAATTTAGTAATAAACACAGTCTTTAACAAAAGAGTAGTTATACACGGTCCGGCACAAAGGTCGGACGGTTTTTAAAAAATCACAGAATCGGTAATTTGTAGTCGAAAACAAATTTATTGACGGATTCGGGTTCACAATGAAACAGCGTTTGTAATTAATTGTGGAAAATCACATCAGTCATGTGGTGGCCGTTTTTGACGATGCATTGCTGGAGGCGTTCTTAAAAGTTCGCGTAGACTCTCTCCAACATCGTTCTCTCAACTTGGGCGCCTTCCACGCGAATTGCCTCCTTCATCTCGTTCAGAGTTCGGATCTTGTGTTTGTATACACGAGCCTTGAGGTGGCCCCATAGGAAAAACTCGCATATGGATAAATCTGAGGACCGAGAAGGCCAATTAACATCACCGCGAAACCTCGAAATAAGGCGACCACTAATGAGAGGGCAAGTAACGTTCATAGTAGCTCTGGTGGTGTGGGCGGTCGCCCCATCCTGTTGGAATCACACATGTCGCAATGGAACCGCCTTCGAAGTAGATTTTAACCATGCCATTAAGATGAAAGTGAGTTTCATAACTCATGAACAAAATGAGGTTCTCAAGTTCATGCATGCATAGTCTCCAGGCTGCAACTGTTGCACAATGGCAAATTTGTAGTTGTGAAAGTGGACTTCCATATGCAAAATACGCCTAACCGAACGATCACTGAGGCGAACTTCAGCAGCAGGTGGCCGAGCAGATCGAACCGGGCTGCGCAGGAGGGCTTGTCCAACGCGTTCCACATTATCAGGGGTTCGAACCGTTCGCGGAGCTCCTGGTCTTTTGTTGATCAGTACACCACGTGTGCGAACCACCAACGAAGGATGGTGTTTCGAGAAGGAACAGCTCGATTCCGATGAATATTAAAGTGGCGACGAAACTCTCGCTGTAGAGCCGTGATAGACTGATTATGGCCGTCCATTGCTCCATAATGTCTACTGGCCAAAATGCTAGCAACGTCCGAGTCGAACGGCACTCTCCCCACTACTCTCGCCCAAATAGGCGGAGAGTGCTAGCCATTTCAAAAATATCCGTTCTTTATGCGGGACCCTGTATAAAGAGAATAAAGAGTATAATACTTTTCTATAAAACGTACTATGAAGCAACCGTAAAGGAGTCGAAATGTGTTTTGTTATAAGTTGCGTGATATATTTAAATCTCACTAGAAAATTGTCCTTAGTTATTGGAGGATTGAAGCAAAGGGTGGTCGCCTCCCCCATATATTTCTGATTAAAGCATTTTATGAACATACTGTATTGTTTCTTTCCACTATGTTATGACAGTGGTAGTATTTTCATTTGTTGCTGATTTTTGAGAGTAAGTCACTCATTTTCTACTCGTGTGTTGGCGTAAAATTGCGCAAAATGTTTATAGGATGATTAATATCTTGGTCTACAATTTTATAATACCCGTTTTACATCAATTTCTCCACCAATTTATTCAGATGATTTTCTTTCTTCAAGATCATCCTGCTTATGCTTATGCTTTTGCGGTGTTTTACATCAATGGACAAACTCGATTATCTGTCAGTATTCAGTGCTGCCAACCACACAACAAATTCATGCTAGAAACATGTTGAGCTTATATGTCTACTATGGTTTTGAGGCGAGTCTCATAAACAGAAACCTGAATGCAGTAGTTCTATACTTGAAATTTGTTCCAAATAATGGAAGGGAAAACAAGTTCTAATTTCGTGAAGAGATCCACGAATATCATGGATTTATTTGACGTCAAATTTCTGTTTGACATTTTTGAAATTTATCCGTGAATAAATCCACGGAAATACAATGTAAAACGGGTATAAGAAATTTTAAATGTAAATACTTTTTAGTCTTCGGTGATGTAAAGATTTTAATACGCATGTATTCAGTTTTTCGGATTACATAGAAATGCCAAAAATTGTAACAATTTTTAATATACATTAGGTTTCTAGGTTCTTTTTGTTATACGATTTGTACCATTTTAAGTTGTATACAGGATGTTTCACAATCCAGGCATGCAAAGAATAATAACCAACCTTATTGAAAATCCTGTTAGTCACTTCTTATGACGGTTCAGCATGAAAAAAAGTGAAAATGATTGTAAATAAAATCTCTATCTCGGTAGTTTTTTTAGTGATCTGATCACGGTATACAGTCATTGATCAGCCAAAACATGAACTTTGCAACATCCTGTACATCATTAGTAGCTGAATAGTGTATCCAAAACTCGGATACTGAAAGATTGATGGATCTTTGGTACAACACTCAACCCCTTAATAGAGCTTTCATATAACATATGTTTTCATTATAAGTAGTCCTCATGATTGTACGATTAAGTATAACAGTTTGGTTAGCGCTCAATAGTAGTAATTGTACATAGTATTTCTTTTTTTAGTTTTTCACATTAATTTATGTTTGGCTGTGAATTTCTAAAAAAAATTATCAATCGGTTAAGGCACGATATCCTCTATAACCGACGAAATTATATAATGCTGACTTGTACAAAAAAAACTAAAATACTCTTCAATAAGCACTAGAGTTACTAAATGTCTATCTGTCTATTAATTTTTAATGTATTTAATATAGATGATGTTACATTCCATAGAATTGTATTATGATTAATGTAGTAAATAAATTAAAATCTAATTGTTTTGGGTTTTCATTTTTCACAATATACATCGATTTCCTAGTTAAAACGGCTCAAAATGATCCCACACAAAACTTCGAACACAAATCGTCGGGATATTTTATTAAGTTTCCTCCCCCTATGGATGAATATATTTTTTGTTCGGCTACTCTCCAATAGATGGCGCAGCATATCGGTAGCTACCACAAGGTCTACCGTTTTGAATGACTACCTTGAGCTGCTGAAATCCGTTCAGTAAGTCCCAGTGTATGTGAGGAGGAGGACGCTTTGCTTTTCAACAAAGCCAGATCAATACGTCATATTAGATATAATAAACTAACAAAACAATGTTTTCATCAAAAAATGGGGGATTTTTAACCCCCCTCACGGAAATTTAAGATCCTTGATCATTGAAGATTCGTTGCCATAAAACCCGTCCCGAACCCCGACCAACCGCCCCTAAAGGATCTTTTTGACTAGTTAAATTTTGTGAGGTCTGTGCTAGCACTTTACAAAGAAGCGCCATCTATGGGATGGTAGCCCAACTGAACGAATTTTTTTGGTGGCGGCTACTCTCCAATAGATGGCGCTGCATTTCGGTAGCTACCACAAGGTCCACCATTTTGAATGACTACCTTGGGCTGCCAAAATCCGTTCAGTGAACCCCAATGCAAGTAAGGAGGAGGACGCTTTGTTTTTCGACAAAGCCAAATCCAATACGTAATATTAGAATATAATAAACAAATATTAAACATAGTTTCATCAAAAAATGGGGGATTTTTAACCCCCCTCACGGAAATTTAAGATCCTTGATCATTGAAGATTCGTTGCCATAAAATCCATCCCGAACCCCGACCGACGTCCCCTTAAGGTTCTTTTTGACTAGTTAAATTTTGTGAGGTCTGTGGTAGCAATTTACACAGAAGCGCCATCTATCGGATGGTAGTCCAACTAAATGAATTTTTTTGTGGCGGCTACTCTCCGATAGATGGCGCTGCATGTCGGTAGCTACCACAAGGTCCACCATTTTGAATGACTACCTTGAGCTGTTGAAATCCGTTCAGTAATCCCCAATGCAAGCAAGGTGGAGGACGCTTTGTTTTCAACAAAGCCAAATCTAATACGTAATATTAGAATACAATAAACTAATTTAATCAAAAATGGGGGGATTTTAACCCCCCTCACGGAAATTTAAGATCCTTGATCATTGAAGATTCGTTGCCATAGAAACATCCCGAACCCCGACCAACCGCCCCTAAAGGATCTTTTTGACTAGTTAAATTTTGTGAGGTCTGTGCTAGCACTTTACAAAGAAGCGCCATCTATGGGATGGTAGCCCAACTGAACGAATTTTTTTGGTGGCGGCTACTATCCAACAGATGGCGCTGCATATCGGTAGCTACCACAAGGTCCACCGTTTTGAATGACTACTTGTGCTGCTCAAATCCGACCAGGAAACCCCAATGCATGGAAGGAGGAGGATGCTTTGTTTTTCAACAAAGCCAAATAAATGACCTAGGTCACCTGTGTCTTCCTGTTTTTGATGGCACACATCCAGTATGCTTTCCGGACAACAGGAAAAATAAACCACAATAGGTATGGTACGTTTATATTTATAAATAACACCGTCATTAATTATAATGAATATAACATACAGTAAATTTTAGAATATCTTTTAAATATAAACCTTTATATCCAGAATTACGTAACATAAAATAACAATAAAATCAGCACTTCAAAAATTTTGCTTTTCATCTTGACAAATGCTGATTTATAATGAAATTTTGATTGGAATGTCTATTGATAAAAATGCACTGCAATTTTCATATTCAAGGAGCAACACACCCAAAAAGTATTTGATTATGTCACTAATTACATTCAATGAAATGTAGAGGAAAGATCAATAAATAATTACAAATTATTCAGATATATTTGTGAAAGTTGATTCTAACATTTTGCCTAAAGCAGTTACGCATTATAGAATAATTTTAGTGTACTATCTTGCAATCAAATGATTGTCAAAACATGTCAATTGTCAATGTGCAGATAAATATAATTAGCACAATATTATGCAAACAAGACCTACAAATATCATTTTCAAATGAATGGTTAAATTTAATTTTGGAAACTTACACCCTGACAACCAAATAGCAAACATAGTAAACAAAAATTTGTGTAGATAATCTTGTTGTGTGTTGCCCTTATGTTAAAATCTAATAAAAGTCAATGATTAACCATTATTGCTAAGAATTTTTCAAGTGCTGACAACAATAATTACCAGATTGTTTACAGCATCAAATAAAATTGCAGCGACTATTGCAGATGCTTCATCAATTACAATCGGTTCAAATAAGATACATTCACAAAAATTGTTGAAATAAGATACATCCACAAAAATCAAAGTTCACGACCAAATACTCCAATAGTGCAAAGGATAAAGTGCGTGGTCTCATGATAAATGAATGAATTTCATTAAAACTTTCTGTAATTTCATCCGACGCTGTAATAACTTTAAGAAACAAATAAATTGAGAATTTATTAATGAAAATAGGGAATATTACGAAAGGGTGACTTATAGAGGTTAGCTCATTGATAGCTGTCCTAGTGCCAATAATCTTTCTACTGCAGCGTTGACGTCACCAAAAGTCTCTATTAGTGCTTGCAGATTGTGTTCTCTGTTTCTGAAGCCCATAGCAGCTAGCTGCTCTAATTGCGTTTGATAGCGCTGCTCTGGCGGCAAGGCACCTTGTTGTCCTAGATTCCCTAGACCTCCTAGACCTCCCAGACTACCCATGCTAGGCATGTTTCCCACATTGCCCATCACACGGGATAAGAACTGAAACATAGAGAAAGATCATTCTATCATTATACAATCAAATTCAGAATAGGCGCTTGACTCATCTAATTTCATAAAATAAATGGTGTATTTCTTACAGTATTTTCCTCAGGAAAACTTAATGCCCAGAAGTCGAATGTCTTATAAACTATTTCCAAATATATACAGTAGCGGACAGAAGTTTGGAAACATTCTTAATAATTCTCATAATTTTTAAAAAGTGTGCTAATTTTTTATTTATCATTAATGACTATTTTTTTCTCATATAATTTGCTTACAGTCTTAATAATACAAATGGCAATTTGTGTTTGCTTTGGTACTGCGGACTAGCATTAAAATACCCTTATATTATTTTATGACCGAAAATGAGACGACAAAAGATTTAAAAAACAATGTTTAGCTAATATTTGGTAGCATTCAACAGTGCCTGACATATGCTGCTTATAGAAGACACAATTTTTTTACAGACGTCTGTTGGGATATTTTGCCAAATATTTTTCACATAATCAAATTAAACTTTCCTATTTTTTAAAGTTTTTCTTGTCAGTTGTCTTTTAACATGCTCCCAGATATTGTCTATAGGGTTTACGTCCAGGGATTGCGAAGGCCATGTAAGAACACTTACATTTTTTAATCTTAACCAGTACTTTTTGTCGAATCTTTTTCGTATTGGATGTCACATATGCCGTACTGTCAGATCTTAACAAGTTAAATTTGCTTTAGTCGCTTCGTAAAAGTGCATTCCATTGTTGTCCTGTCCAAGTTAGATGAGATTTATCAAATTCAAGCCAAGCAATACGATTTTTTTTAAATGTGAGGTTTTTGCACTGGACGCCTACCAAAAAGCCCAAAATCCCCCAAGCGTCTCTGCACTGGTCTGACAGAAAGATTCTTTGCACCTTCTTCTGAAAATCTGTGTGGCTGGCATTCGAGGATCTTCATGAGACAAACGTTTTATGTAGCGACCCAAAACATAATCGGTTTTTTCGGTCTTCCGCACCTGGGCCACGTTGCTGTTGATCCGTATTCTTGATATTTACTAATAATTTTCGAAATCGTCCCTTTGTTCATTTTTAATCTTTAGGAAATGTCCACATTTCTGACACCACTTCTAAATAATTCAATTACTTTGTTTCTTAAATCTATTAAAAATTCTTTTACTTTTACCATTCTCGCTGATATTAATATTTACTGCACGCAATATCAGGGTATCGCAGAACGAATAAATACAGCAAAATTGAAATGTTTCCATACCTAGGTCGTTACAAAAACTGTGGTAATTAAAAAAAACGCGCTTGTTTATTATCACAGAATTTAAATATTGATAAAATAAACCTTGTGTTAGTACGGGAGTCAAAGGTAGAATTTAAAATTTATATTATCTGTTCCTTCACAATTTTAATTTAGGTATATGAAATAGTTCATAATAATTGTTTCCAAACTTTTGTCAGCTACTGTAAATAAACGTTTGATAAATAAATAACTACATGGATGGGTTGAAGAAACATCAGCTATAATTCTCAATATTTTTTTCTGGACAATAAACACGCCCATTGATTGAATTTCAGCACTGCTACTACAACTGAATCACCTCACAGAACATATAAACTTGATGGACAGTACAAATAATTTCTTAACGCACTTTTTTTTTTTTAATTTCCTGTACAAATAAGTAATTTTACCTCAGCAAAGGCATCAGGATTTCCTCCAAGCCGCTGTCCTGGAGATGTAGTGATTGTACCATTTGTACTGCCTGTCGTATTGGTGGTAGTTGTGGAGCTAGTTGTATTGGTAGTTGCCGTAGTGCCTGTTTCAGTTGAAGGTGTTGTTCTTGGACCGCCCGGGGGTACAAAGGTGTTAATTAAATTAGGTGCTGTTTGTCGTAAGGTTTCTAGTCCCTAAAAAAAAAAAAATGGTGTCAAGTAGGTTGAATCTATACATCCTATGTCTTCGTTGGAGGTTTCCAAGAAAAGGGATGAGTCAATCGTTTCAAAAGGTGAAGTCGAATAGTGATTACAGGTAGGTATAGGTACATAGATGTACAAGGTCTGGAGCAAAGTAAACAGGACTTTTGAAAGATATTCGATACAAAAAGGGGCCCTCTATTATCGGAAACGTCTTTCATTGATGCCCTG